CCCCAGTGTTATTTTTCTTCATTTGTATTTTGAGTTTTGAGGGCCTCACTGTGTAGCCCAGAGTGGGCTCAAACTTAAGATTTGCCTACCTTCAGCCTCTCAAGTACTAAGATTACAAGTGTATACCACCAAGTTTGGCTTGAAATTGCTTAAAAAATACAGTGCAGTATGTGACCTCATGGTACAACAGTAGGACACATGACTCTAAAGTACAGCATAGTGTAACTGGTAACTGGCTATCTTCCTTCATCACAAGTCTAAGGTCATGAAAATGTTAAAGACAGAGAAAAGTCATCTGGTTCAACTAGAACCACCGTTCTAATCCACCTGAATTGCTGTGACAAAAGACTGTGACCAATACCAACTGGGGAGGAAAGGGTTTATTTGGCTTATATCTCCAGAGGTCACAGTTCATCAGGAAGCCCAAGGTAAGAACTCCAGGCAGGAACCTGGAGGCAGGAGCTGAAGCACAGGCCATGGAGGAATGCTGCTTACTGGCTTGCTCTCCTGGCCCCCGCTCAGCCTGCTTTCTTATAGAATACAGGACCACCTGCCCAAGGGTGGCACCACCTACAGTGGGTCGGGCCCTCCCACATTACTCAAAAATCAAGAAGATACCCCAAAGACATGGCCACAGGCCAGTCCAATGGAGGCAATTCCCCAACTGAGGCTCCCTCTACCCTGGTGTGTCAAGTTGACAACTAAAGCTGTCCAACACAAGCACCCATCAGTGAAACCCAGAACTCTTTCTAGTTACTGATGTAGGTAAAGGAGAGACATGGTCCCAGTGCTGAGAGCTTCTCTACTGCATCTCCTCCTCTTATGGAGCTTGGAAAGCAGGAGCTCACTTCCTTTCTTACATACTAAATTCAATCTTCTCATCCATTTCCTGTTTGAGAAGTCTTGAAAATCTAAGAATCATGACTCATAAATTTAAATGCATTCACCAAACAAATACGACACGTATTCTTTAAATCAAATAATATTTGAGGGTTTTATTCATCACCTTTGTCATAAAATTATCCAACATTGATGACAGCACGCACAAGTCGCATGGAAGCTCAAAAAAAAAAAAAAAAAAAACACAGTCAAGTGCTACAGATATAGCTCAGAGATAGTGTAAGGCCTTGAGTTTGTTCCCTATACAACAAAAGCAAAACAAAAAGATAGCAAAGTATCTGTGTTCATGTAGTTTTCTCTAATTCCAGACCCAGTATATTACCTTCCCCTTGCTGTATTTATCTGATTATTTAGGTTGATTCCCATTAGTTTTCTCCATTTGAAAACTTCTTGAAGACAGCATATCATTTACTAGGTATTACAAGAACTCCGTGACTATAAACATACTGGCTACACCAAATGTTTCCTATTGTTCTCTGTTGAGTCATCACTGTTAAACTATGTCAGCCTCCTCTTGTGTAAACTGAGACAGCCTAGCATATCACAAGAACAAAAGCCTCAGAGATAGACCTTGACTCGAATCATAACTTTCTCTACTAGTCGCATGACTTTAAACATGTTAGTAAGTGACTCAAATCATAACTTTCTCTACTAGTAGCATGACTTTAAACATGTTAGTAAGTCTGGCTTTATTAATTTCCTAACCTTTTTTAAAAAAATATTTTATTATTTTTATTGTATGTGTATGAGTGTATTGCCTGTATATATGTAAGTGCACCCGTGTCATGCAATTTCCCACTGAGGTCAGAAGAGGGTGTCAGATCCCCCGGAACTGGAGTTATGGACAGTTGTTAGCCATTATGTGGGTGCTGGGATTTAAACCTCTGCCAGAGCAGTTAGTGCTCTTAACTGCTGAGCCATCTCTCCAGCCCCAGTTTCCTAACCCTTAAAATTAGGAAATCTGAGAGTGGTGGCCCACATCTATAATCCCAGCATTTAAAAGGGTGAGACAAGAGGCCTGCCACAGGTTCAAGGCTCTCCTGGGCTACAGAGTGAGACTCGGTTTTAAAAAAAAAAAAAAAAAAAAGAAAGAAAAAAAAATAATTAGGATATTATCCCCTATATCTACAAGGGGTTGAATTAAATGACAAATTACTGGTTTGGAGCATCATAGCTGCTCTAGAATGTCCTAGATGTTCTAGAATGTTAGATTCTTTCTTAGCAACAAGAATCTCTTTGTCCTTTCTTGCATTTTCTAGACTACTTATAAAGGCTTCCCTTCCATAAGACTGGATCTTTCGAAGTATGTCCTGAATTCTGCCACTTCAGGACCCTCCATCCACTTTCAAATCCAACCTATCTCTAGCTTAATAACTCTCCTCCTCGGCTTCCAGCACTTGGTTTTGGTGCTTTGCCTGAGGAAGGTAGCTGGAAACAGAACAATGAGAGTAGTAAAGGCAGTGCTCCCAGGAACACGAGCATATAAGGATAACTATCCTGAGCACCAGTCACAGAAGCTTGGGTGTGCATTATAGCTGGTTGCACACTCATTAAGCTTATTCTCAATGCAAGTCACAGGCACTTTCACAAATGATTTACATGTCTAAACAGACTCCATCTAAGACTAATCTAGATAACTGGAAAAAGCTGTTAATTTATAGAATTCCCAGTTAGGAAAAAAAAAATCGCAATGAATTTTCAGGCACTAAATAATGACATGCTGTCCTTTCATGACATTCTGCGTTCTTCTGCATTACCCAAACTAAACAGCTAGAGGGAAAAATCACAGCCGGCCCTCTATATCCAGGAGTTTTGTGTCCTCACATTCAATTAAGCATGGGTTAAAAATATTTGAAAATAAAATTCCAGCCAAGCACAGGGCACATTCTTGTGATCCCAGTTCTTCAGGAAGCTAAGGTAGAAGGATTACTCTTAAGCCTAGGGGTGCAAGACCAGTTTGAACAACATAGTAAGACCTCATATCAAAAGAAAAAACTTTTTCAGAAAGCTCCAAAAAGCAAAAATTGAATTTGCCATGTACTGAATACTATGCTGAGCCCCCATGAATAAAATGCAGTAGCCTGCCACGGTCTCGCAGTCCTTAGGCTCCCTTCAGCACTGATTATAGAGCATCATCCACCTCACAGCCTGTTCATAATCAGTGATTGCATCTGTACTGCATATGTGTACTTTTTTGCCATTATTCCATAAACAGTGCAGTATAACAATTATTTATGTAGCATTTATAGCTTATTAGGTATTACAGGTAATATAAAGAGAATTTAAAGTGTAGGGGAAGATGTGTGAAGGTTATATGCAAATGCTACATTTTATATAAGCATGCAGATTTCTGGATACATGGGGAGTTCTTGAAACCAATCTCCCATGGCTCCTTGAAGGACCAGTGTACTTAATGAGGAAACAAAATTTGTCTTATATAATACTCATTTTTTAAGGGAATGCACGATTAAGTCTTAATACTGAAATAAGGCGTTCTAATAATCAGTGTTCAGTGGTCAGATCCTGGAATATACTCCTATTTTATTCTCCTGAGAACTCCAAAGCCTCACAGGACTCACTGGGAGGTATGCAATTAAAGGCCACATTAGAACAGATTGGATGTTACTCATCCAGCGAAGCCTTTCAGAAGTGTCTAGCTAAATCTTGATGGAGTACAAGCAAGTAGTCTCCCAGGAGAATAATCCTTTAAGAATTCCCAGTGAAGTATGTAGCATGTGGAACTTAGGCTAGAATTTCCATTGTCTAATAGCGATAAGCAAGCACTCAAGCCTCAGAATAAGCCAAGACCATCCAGAACCCTAATTAAAAGTTGGATCAGCAAAGCCGGAAGTAACTACCAACTGGAGACAACTAAGTGGCCAGATGACAAGCCTGACAGCTAGGCACTGAAGATTTCTGACAGCATGCCATAAGGAGGTATGAAAAGAATTGTGCAGCAATGTCTGTTTTCAGCTCTATGTGCTGTGACCACCCTCATCCTGCTCTGCTTTTCACAGCAGCTAGTCAAAGAGGGAGACAAAGAATGAGCAGCTTCTGTGCTCAAAGTCCTGTGTCCCAGTGAAGCACAACAATTAAATGTGCTGTAAGCATTCTTATATTTCCATCAGAGAGAAAGAATGCAAATTTTAGAGGTCTGTATTCTACTTTAACCCTCTCAAATTCTATTCTTTTGCTGTTTTGTTATTGTTGGGGTTTTTTTGTTTTTGTTTTTGTTTTTGAGACATGGACTCATGATGGAGCCCTGGCTGGCCTGGAACTCACCATGTAGACCAGACTGGCCTCAAACTCACAGAGATTCACCTGCCTCTGCCTCCTGAGTGCTAGGACTTTTAGGCATGTACCACTATGCCCTACAAATTTATATTCCTCAAAAATTCTTGGCACTTTGATAGACGTCTACAGAGAGCAATAGTTCCTCTTCTGAGCTTGTGTGCTTTGGTATTTTCATTCTTCTTTAGCCTTCACTCATAAGCCAAAGTTTTAGGTAGGGCTCCTTAACCTCCAGCAATAAATACAGCATTCTAATGTTCAGTGAGAAGGAACTAGAGAGACCTCCATTTTCCCTCCGATTACCTGGTGGTAAATGTTCACATTATGAAATATTGTGAGCAAAAGCATCTGGAGAAAAGCAGACTTGCATTGCGAGGCTCACTGTGAGATATGAAGGAATTCTAACACAATTCCTCACGTGTCTCCTGAGCTGTTTCAAGACCAAACAGTCTGCCTCGAAGCCCGAGTACACTGGTCCTCTGCACTCAGCTGCACCCAGAAGTTGTGCTTCACCTTTCAGGTACTCCAGAACTACTAAGTTGCAGGTACTCCAGAAATACTAAGTTACTGCAACCATCCTCTCAGGCAAGCAAAAGGCAGGAAAATGTTTCCTAAATGAAAAATCATTATAAACAAAAGACTCCTCTGACTCTCTGCAGTGCTCCAAAGAACAAGACAAATGGCACCTAACACAGTACAAATGGAACCATGGCTTCAATGGACAAGGTAAATTCTTTCACTTCAGGAAGTTTCCATATTCTGAGCAAATCCACTCATCTTCCCTGTATCCCTTCCTACACTGACATTACCTGTATAAGTGACGGTTGTCTTCGAAATCTTCCTGACCCCATTTTCCCTTGATGTCTTCAATAACGTGATTCTTCAGGAATTTTTTCAGCAACTGAATTGTTTGTTTGCGAGTCACCTCGGGCCCAAAGTTTTGACTGTTCCTCAACAGCTCGTGCAGCCAGTCCACAGCTTCAGCAGCTGTGAAGCAACATTCATAACTCTTGAAGCGACAACGGTGCTTCCGTAAAGGCATCCTGGTACGAAAAAGCTCCACGGTTTCATTCCACTGGGCAGAAGAGACAAAGGCATTGAATAATCAACTGCTGTTTTCTAAAGGTTACTACATTCCAAATGTTTAAAGCAATGAGTACAATTTTTCGATTTAAAAACCACTTGAGGGGCTGCAGGGATGGCTCAGCAGTTAAGAGTGCTGACTGCTCTTGCAGAGGACCTAGGTTCAGTTCCTAGCACCCACATGGCAGCTACCTATCTGTAACTCCAGTTTCAGGGGATCTGGTGCCCTCTTCTGGTCTCCCCTGACATTGCACAACATGGGTGTACTTACATATATGCAGGCAAAACACTCATACACATAAAATAAAAATAAATCAATCAAAAAGAAAATTAAGGCTGGGGGAAACATCAGAATAGTAGAGCACTTGCTTAGCATGTGCCAGATCCAAAGTTAGATAATAAATTGATAACAGACGTATAGATGATTGACTGACTGATTGATAGTATTCATATTTTTTAGTTAACAGCTTGAATAATGAAGACTTGATGTTTTTATTTGCGGCCTTCAAACTCTAAAAGTTCTGGAGAATAGATGGTGGCGATGATTACAAAACATTGTAAGCACAATTAATGCTACCAAACTATACACTTAGAAATGGTTAAAAATAGCTTATATTGTGTATATTTTACCACCATTGAAGCAAAAGCAGAACTTGCTTCTTCAGAAAAGAAATGGAAGTAAAAGGCATCTTTTCAAAGGTAGTTCATCATGTACCCGCTCAAGGAATCTTTACTGAAGACACTGCCAACAAGCTATCCTATTAGTGAGATTCCCATGAATCAAAACATGGTAGTAAGTAATGGTTAAAACTAAGTCGCTAGCTGGGCACAGTGGTGCACATCTATAATCTCAGCACTCAGTAAGCTGAGGCAGAAGGATTATGAGCTCAAGGCCAGCCTGGGCTACATGCAGAGTTCTAGGCCCAGTTTGGATTATATACTGAAATCCTGCCCTCTATACAAAAAAAAAAAAAAAAAAAAAAAAAAATTCTAGCCCATTATGCATAATTCATTTCTAAAAGCCCCATTCTTAGTACAACTTCATTCAACAAGCATGTATAGACTGTTTATTATGTGAACGGAATTGTATGGGTAGAGAAGAGAGATGCATATGATAATATAATACAGTGCTCAATGTCAAAGAACTCAAGACAGTAATGATATGTTTTAAAGCAAGTATCCAAGTTTTTGCTCATTTACAAAAGAAAGTTTTTTGAAAAAAATAGCTAGTAGATATTTCAAATAACATAAGCTAATTACAAAGCATCTCCTAGTCTTTTTTGTAATAATATTGTTTAAAATTGTTTCCTGCCTTTAGCCAGAGAAGATGGTTGTTTCTGAGGCTCTTCCTGAAGAACACAGTTTAGTTAGGCATGGCACCTTCAGAGACACCATGGGGAGTTAAGACTGAACAGGCAGAGCTCAGGCTCTGAAGCCCAGCTTGGCTAGAATCACAGCCTGGTCTGCTACTGACCGGCAAGCCAACCCACGTGCCTCCAGCAACAAAGCAACGATGACATAACCAGAGATGGAAAAAAAAAAAAAAGACTATTGACTATTGCAGTGCCTTCCCTGAAGGAAGTACTTAATAAAACTCAGCCACATAGTGTTGTTGTCTCTATCATCAGAGTAGGGGCAGCCCTTAGAGCAAATATACAGAAAAGACCCCTAAATGGAATCTCCAGTATTTAGTCCAGCTTCTGCCAATAAATATTTGGTTTGGGCGCAGTTAACATTTTCTCTATAAATTTATAGCAAATTAAAACTCAAAAGAGTTAAGATCCTGAAATTCAAAAATCACAGAAGCCAGCTACAGTGGGGCATAAACCCATAATCTCTGCACTCATGAGGCTAAGGCAGGAGGATTGTGAGTTCAAGGCCAGCCTGGGCTACAAAGCAAGAGGCTATCTCAAAAATAAATCAATCAAAAGGCAAGTCATAGAGGTGTGTGTTGTGTACAGTCAGCTAAGAAAGAGTGCTGGTGCAATCCACTGTAGTCAAATCAAAGGCGTATACCATTGTTTACACTTGGCTTATGAGCCTTTAAAAAGAATTGTCAAATCCATGTACAGTGATTCACTGTATACACTGCTGGTGATGCTCACCAGCAGAACTTAAAGAAACACTGGACCAATTTTAGTAGAACAAAATCAATCTCTGAAGACTGGGAAAATATAAGGTACAGAGTCAGACCAGGGTTCAAATCCTGGTTCTTCAATTCACTATTTGCATAGGGTTTGGTACAAGTTAAGTATCAGAAAAATATCGTTTCTTTCTATTCCAAAATGCCACTGATAGAATCTCATGGGCTGTCATGTCCCACAGAACCTTTAACACAAAAGTCAACTCTTTCGAAATGTCATTTTTTAAATAACTTCATGACTATCAGCCTCTTCTTCCTTATGTGTGAAGTTACATCAATGACAAGAAATCAGGAAGTTGAAGGCTTAGAATAAGGAAGTTGTTCATTCACCTCCCACTTAAAGCTTTATGAACACCACTGACCTAGTCAGCATCCCACCAGTCAGTTGGCAGGGAGCAAGTGTCAGAGAGAGCACTCACTATACAAAAAGTCACAGCATCCCACATGCCCCAGAGATACCAAGGGCACCACAGCATTGCCCCTGGCATCCCTCAGAATTGTCCCACCCATCATGAGGTTCCTGCCTAATCTGCTTCTAAAATGCAAATGTGAATAAATTATTGTTCTTCTTGCTTCTTATAGACCTGACATCTGTTCCAATCTCTCCCCTCTATGGTGCCTTTGTATAGATGTAACCCTCAAAACCCTACCTTTCAAAACTTTAGAAATTTTATTCCAAACTACATAGCTGCAGTCTTCTAGCCAACCACTTATACTGAGTTACATAATGAAAGCTATTTTGATGATGAGAGTAAGTAGCTAACAAGCTTCCATGTTTGTCATGAATTAGGTCTGCCATTTGTCTTTTATCATTAAAAATTTACCTAATCCATAAAATGTTATTTTCCAACAGAATTCCAGAACCTTAGAAAATAAAGCTGTTACAAATTATAAGAAAGTATAGCAAGCCAGTAAGACGGATACAGAAGCCTACTATTTGTATGCTAATAGATTTTTCCAGGTTTTCCCTGACGAGATACTACGCAGAGAGTGATGCTGAGAGAAAGAAGAGCTGGGCCAGTGATGAAGGAAGGAAAGGCTGGCCTCAGAGAACAACTAAAGAAAGAGCTAGTTACAAACTAGGATTCATTTACTTAATAAAAGCCTCAAGGCACAACTGAAACATATTGGAAAAATATTTGCAGATTTCACCTTTAATAACAACTATAATTTCTCAAAACAGCAATCCTCACTTTTAGGGACAAGAACAGGTGATTACTGTGTTTTCCAAATTTTAATATTACATTTCTCAACTACCATAAAATTGAGAACCAAATTGAATACCTGGGAAGTTCTGATAAAAATGGAAGTATTTTCATTAATTATCCTGTAACTTTTCTGTTTAAGTTGATAACCTACACTGGGCCTGAATGACATTTCTTAGGAAGTAAAAACATCGGAGAAAAAGCACTTTCCTTTATAAATTCCTTTTGCAATAGCTTAACGTGACTCAGAATCCAGTGATATTCATACAGTGGTCCTCTGCAACCATGAAAGAAGTACCTTGTATAGCTCTATGAATATAATTTAAAAGTTTCTGCTATTTTTTTTTTTTCCTGCAAGACAAGGACTAAGTCATTCCAAGATCAGAGCCTATTTCCCTGGTCTAAGTACTGTAAACAAACTGGGTGGAGGATGAAATGTGTTATTTTTCCTTCCTAAACAAAGATATAATCATTTCTTATCCAAAGCTTCAGTGACCCACAGGAAACAGCAGTCTGGAAAATTCCAGAAATTAACAATTCGCAAGTTTTCAGTTGCATGCAGTTCTGAGTAGTGTAAGGAAACCTCCTCATCCAACCAAGGATGTGAAAGATTTCTCTGTCCACTGTGTCCAAGCTGTATATGCTACTCACCTACTAGTCCTTTAGCAGCTACTCAGGTTAACAGTCCAACTGGTGAGGTATCACAGTGCCCGTGCTCAGGTATAATCTTTATTTTACTTTAAACTGTAAGAGCAGTGAACTTGGAGTATATTAATTGTCCTATTTTGCTATTACTATTTTTAATTTCTCGTTAATTTATAAATTAAACTATCATAGGTATATGCAGGAAAAACACATCCCATATGTAGGGTCCAGAACGATCATTTGTTTCAGGCACTTGCTGGGGAGGGGTGAGGGAGGGTGAGTGTTACAACATATCTTTCACAGCTAAGAAAGGACTGCTATAAGAGTCTGTGAAAATCACTGAAAAGGCACAACTTGCCTCTTCCCTAAAGTCAGACCTACCAACAGCCCTGCCCTCAGAGAGTTTGAATGATAGAGTCACAGCCATCGTGAAAATGACATTCTTTAAAAACTCTATCTTTTTCCTTGACATTACCATTTCATACCTCTTAGAAGCCAGTCCTAAAGAAAACCTAAATTTATTTATTGGATTATTTTTTTTTTAAATCAATGGATCATCATTCTGGGTAGCCTGTAGATTGTACAATGGTTTTTTTCCCATCCTCTTCACAGGCACCTTGGTAATATGACACTGCTACCCTGCCACTTAAAGTAGAAATGTCAAAATGTCCTTGGGCCTGTTAGCAACATACTCTGTTCCAAAGGCCAAAAATGTCAAAATGTCAAAAGTATTTGGGAGCTTGTATCTAATCCTTAAAAGATTTTAGGGTTACCTCTTCAGAGGGGGGAATGTTGGAGGGGAGGGAATGGGCATGGATTTGATCAAAACACCTTATATGCATGTATGAAATTCTCAAAGTTTTTGTAAAAGTTAAAAAAAAAAAAAAAAAGTAGAAATGTGGCCTGCAGGATGGCTCAGCAAGTGAAGGTGCTTTTCACACAAGCCTGGCATCCTGAATCCTATCCCCAGCACTAATGTTAAGGTAGAAGGAGAGAACTGACTGCACAAAATTGTCCTCTGACCTCCACACAACACCCCTCACACCTACATCATACACACACAATAATAATTAGTAATAATAGTAAATTAAACAAGGTTTTTTTACGTGGAAATAAATTTCTAGATTCTGGACTCAGTCATTTTATAGGCTTTGGCTAATGAGGTATGAAAAAAAAAAGTCGCAGGTTGAAACCATTTAGCTACCTTGGAACCACCATGAGACCACTATGTGAAGATGCCTGTCATAGATACTTGGCTCAACTTATGTCCAAGACAAGTCAGCACCTTCCACCATCCAGAACTAGTGAAGTCAACAGATTTTGATACATGAGGGGCCCCTATCAGAAGAATCACTGACATGAATCCACCCCAGATCACTGGTCCACAACAATCCTAAGCTGTTTCCATCCAAATGAAAGAGTATTCCCTCAAATCCCTAAAATCTTAGGTAAAAGGACATACGTGGCATGTGCTCTTTCTCTGTGAACAGGATCCATAATCTTTATTAGGTTCTCAAAGCAGATCAAGAGGCTAATTTTTTTTTAAAGTGAAAAACAAACAGCCTCAAGCCTAATTTCTCCTTCAGGAAGGTGATCTTCTTAGGTCTGACTTGACCCAATAGAACACAAAGTGGCTGGCTCTGGAAAGAAAAGGAAACTCTTTGCCTCTCCAACATATGAGTTACAGTCTGGACACTAGATCCCACCTGCTCTGGATATTTCTTTTGAGTACAAAGAACATTGCAAGTTAGATGCAGCTGAACGCAGTTCACAGACTAAAGTCAACTATCTTCCTTTCAAATGACCATTAAAAGTCCCCTAATCCTTGAGGCAGTCTGTAAAACTACTTCCTCCAGGTAACAGTAACACACATCAGATAAGTCTTTGAATAGCAAAACTAGTTTCCAGGAGAAAAGGCATCACCCTGGTCCATCAGGGTCTGCAAAGCTCTTTCAAGCCACTTATCAAGCCTGGTCCCTCGGTGAGGTGGGTGCTGACAGAAACAGAATCGCCAAGAGCAGGAACTGTGCCTTGGGCAATCCACCTTGGTGCTGTGCAGCCTTAGAAAGAACTCTTCATCAAGTGTCAACGGTGTCACTCAGGAAGGAGACACGCCCTGCCTGGATGACCACAAACGCCCAGCGTTAGATGGGTGGGGTGGGCTAGGGTTCCACCCAGGATCTCTTGGGTCCTGATGCAGGCCTTTGGACAAAGGGCAGAGAGGTGGGAACTCCATCGCCTGGTGTTCCCAGCTCTTTTAGTCTGAAGGCGCCTAATGCAGCCACCCTCCGGGGTGGGGCAGTGAAGCTCAGCCCAGGCCGGTGGACTGGCTCCCAGGTCCTCTAGGGGGCATGGTGAGGACCCCAGCCCCGGCTGACACTCGCCTGCCTGCGGCCTCAGCCCGGAGCCGCGGAGTCCGAGGCACCGCGGGGACCGCGGCGTAGGGTCGGCCCCGCCAGCACTCTCACTCACCAGCTTGGTGGCCCGGTACGGCCCGGGCCCCACGATGCGATGCTCCATCGCCGGTGCGCGACCGGCCAGCTAGGGTCCCTGGATTCGCCGCGCTGCAGTTTGAATTGCAAGCCTGCGGGCTCCGGGCGCCGATTGGACGGCATGAAGGCACGTGACCGGAACTTCGCGAGTGGGCGGGACCACGTCCCCTGATGTGCGTCTGGGGTGGTGGAGCCTCTGAGAGCAAAGGACACAGCGATCCTCATCAATGGGCAGGCAGTCAGTCACCAGCCTCCGTGTGACTGATCGCGGCGCTGCCCAGCACCATTGCCAGACTGTCCTGCAGGGTGCAGGGCACACGAGCTCTGCAAAAGAAGCAATCCAGTGAGCGAAACCTAGCTGGGACCTCGCAGATAATGTTACCAGAACAAGTGCACAGTGAATCTGGAAGTTAGAGATTAGAACTGCGTGGTGAAAGGAAGCGAGTTGACACCCTATAAAGTGGAGGGACTTTTAAAAACTAGATAAAGGCACTGAGCCACAAAGGAGTCTAGATGGCCTATTAGAACAATAAAGACGCCCTAATCGGTTTCTGTTGTGCTATTTTAATAGAGCACAATAATCCCTCCTCCCCCAGCTTGCATTCTCTGTTTTGCTTCTCACTGAATTTTACAGTCTTGCCATAGGGTTGATAAATCCTTTTCTCTCCCACTCTTGAGAATTGTCAGTCCGATTTTCAACTGTTCAAATGGACAAAATGACTTCACCACTCTCTGAACTACACACTTGAAACTCGGTGACTCCAGTTCAGAATTCATGTCTGGGCATCTGGATGAATACCCAGGATAAGAATTGCTGAGCAACTCAGCCTTGATCACAGAAGCCTCTTTTTCCAGTGGACAGTGGTTAATGCAGAGACTTAAAACTGGTCAAAGTGCTGTAAACAAGAGCCTGGAATGCTCAGTCTTAAATGGAACATTTATATGTGTTCCCTCGGAGAACAAGGAGGTAGAAACGTTAAGAGCTGGAGGATGGGGAGGAGTACTATAAATGCTGTCTTCTGGACCTGACATGAACTTAACGGCAACGGTTGATTACCTGTGCAAGACCTGCACAAGCTGGAACACTGGTCCACATGTGACTTAAAAAATAAAAAATAAAAAGCCAGAGGACACTAATGAATCTCTCAACTCTCATTAATGAAGCTCCCTAGTGCAAGAGAGGACCAGGAACACAAAAGGTCACACATGGCCAAAATGTAGAGATTAAGAGTCTACACAATGGTGCTCCTTGGACAGAGCTCATATATTAAACTTCACCCACCCAGGACTCATGGTCCATTGTGGAAGAGGGGGTGGAAAGATTGTAAGAGCCAGGGAGGAGGTGTAGGACCATATGGAAACAAAGTCCTAGAAGCTCCTGGGAACTTGCTCATATGATTCTATGGCAATGATGTCAACATACACAAGTCCCCTGGCAACTCAGGCAGACAAAAATCCAGCATAGAACTGGGAAAATGAACAGCAGGCCCCAATCTTAGCTGAAGAAATATTGACAACTGATTACTGCTAGGTGAGGAAGAGCTGATCTTCCTAAAACAAGGGACTCTAGATCTAGACTCAGTGGATGGACTTGCACTGGGGAATGTCTGGGGGTACTGACTTGACACAATGGGCCTGAACTGGAATGACAGAGTATATGGGTTCTGGGGGTGGGGGTGAGGGGGTGGAGCTATGGGAGGGTGCCAGTGGGGATGAGGGCATAAACATGATTAAGATTGTTTGAGATATTCTGTATGAAATACACAAAAATTCAATAAAAGCAAATTTTTAAAAACCCTGGACATGTTCAGTTAAGGGGGGAGGGTGCGGGCAAGGGTGGTGAGATAAGATGGGTCAGCTGGTAATGGAAAGGAACCAGGGAGGTAAAGGAAAAGAAAGAACCTGAAAGAGAAGAACAGTAGGAAACAGGTGTTAATAAGGGAGATATGGATAAAAATTGGGTTAGTTTAAGGGAAGGGGAGGGAAAGGTATACAAGGAACCTAGGGGATAAAGGGAAAGAAGAAGCTCAAAAAAAGGTAGGACCATAGGAGAAGGGTATTATTAAGGGAGAAAGGGGGAAAATGGGGGCACCTTAATTGGGGAAACCATGATGGAAGGATGAGACAATACAAGAGATAAATAATGCCTAGCTAGTTTTAAAAACCAGAGGGAACCATATTACTCCAACAACCTACTGACAAATTATACATAGCAGATCAAGAAATATATGTCTAGGTAAGGTTTATCTGAGAACAATTGGTCTTTGCCCAAGCTTTAGC